TACTACTACTACTACTACTACTACTATTAGTATTACTGTGGGAAAGGTTATTAATACCTAGATAGATTTCCAAATATCTCTATGATGTACATAGCTTCACACAGCAGTGCAATTTTGTTCAGACATGGGCTTGCTTTATATTTCTCAGGCTGTAATTGTACATGATTTCTTTTTTGTTGTGCAAACTCTAGACACACAGTTTAAACATTTACCTTTGAAGAATTTTTTCAGAAGATTTTTTTGAGGATGTCTTCCAACTCCAAACTGATTTTGGTGATCAGTGAAAGTGTGAGGTCCAACTATATCCGGCTTTTCCAAGAACATATTGTCCAGTTCTTCCTACTGTTCCCTCCTGAATAGATGATGGTGACAGCTAGGACAAGGATCCCAGCTGTCTTTGTTGTCAGCCAGATACAAGGAGCTATGTCTAAGATTTTATATACTATTTTTTTTTTATTCTTAATTGTAATAAATAGCTTAGTTATTCCTTAGCTTGAAGTTATCCAGGCTTGACCTGGGAGATCTAGAGCATCCAGTGTTATGAGTCAGTGTGCTTCTGCTGCAACTTATGGAGACATGCCAGTTTATATCAGAGCAGCTCAAAGTCTGGCTGAACACACTTAGAACAAAAGATCTGTATCAGACCCTGATTTAAACGTGCAGGATCGAGCAGCCTGGTTTTGGTGTACGTAATGTATGTGCATGCAGAGGGGTTCGTTCAGATTTATAGTGTAGTTGTGCCACTATTGAAAATTATACTTTTGAAAAGGGGGTCTTCTCACTTATGTTTCTCCGTCTTAAACCACACCACTGAATACCTTACAATCTGAAAGGATCCTTTCTGCCCTTCATGAATTCCCATGCCATGAGCTCCCACACTTCCTCTTTGGTACACGAGGGATTCAATCAAAATTTAAAGAAATTATTTTATGTGTGTTTGTTGGGGTCCCCATCCCAGGGGCTGCTGCCAGGAAAGGAGAAAAGGGAGTCCATGGTCTTCGCTCCATAACAGGGTTTTACAGGCCGTTCCAAAGCCAATGGGGAAAAATACTGGTTTTCGTTTTATGTCAAGATAATGCAAGAATGTTTGAGATGATGTGGGCTAGAAATCTTTCAGTCAAAGAAGTAATAGTTATGAAAATTGTAGTGCTGTAGGGAAGGGACTTACACTACAAACACCATCTGAGAGTATAAATATGGAGTTAGTTACTGGTGCAACAAACTAATTATATTTATCCCTACTTCTTACCTTTTGGGATATAATTATGTTGATTTAAGAGAAAACAGACATGACTTTTATGAAGCATATAGGAGAGAAATTATGTATCTTTCCCCAAGTGTTAAATTTCAAGGAACTTATATTTTCCAAGGAATGTCCCAAGTCCATATAATATTCTTAACATTCTGCATCACAATGCTTGTGCTGTGACCTTTACTTCAGCAAATACATGTGTGAAAATACATTTGTCCGGACAACTGTTTAATGGTTCAAAGGCTGAAAAGGCTGCAATGTAAATTACTGTAGCTAAAGCCTGCAATAAATTTTACACTTTCATTTAAACTAGAATTGATTTTTAACACTGTGTTTAAACATTCCCCCCCTGCCCAAAGAGAAACTCCAAACCAGTTCTGCCAATTTTTGACACAATTCAAATGTACACAGGGTAAAATCCTATTTGGATTCAGAATTAATAGGAAATGAAGTTGAAAAACTTGGGAATCCTTTATTGCATTTTTCAGACTTCTTGGGTTGCTTTTGTGAGATAATATGCTGCAGATTTCCTAATAAAATTTTCGTCAGTGTAAGTTCTTGGCTTGACTTGGTAAGTATCTTGAGGATAAAATTAGCTCACAGAGACAATATTGGCAAAGAATTAAAAAAACGGAAGACTGCAAGTAAAATTCTGCCTTCAGTTATACACAGAAAAGGGGACTTTGTGGAACTGCCAACAATAAATGGGGGTTAAATTTTACATTTTTTATGTATGTGATGAGAACTTCATTTATGTAGTTTATGTGAAGAATATAGGTCAAGAATGTGGAAGTTATGCATGGGGTACTCAGAAATATAATAAAGATGTCAAACAGGCTTGTTTATTTGCTAACCTGGACTTGAATATGTACATTTTTTTTTCCTTTAAGGTTAGACAGTACTCAAAAATGATTGAACTGTATCAGCAGCAAATCCTTAATCTAACCATCAGAGTGGAGTATATGGAGAAGAGCAGTGTATCTTACACAGAACTGGACTTCCAGTTACTGAAGGTGGAAATCAGTGACCTAGAGAGACTGGTCACTCAGCTGAAATCCAGCCTTGTTGGAAGCAATGTCATCGTTGAGCAAATATATTCGGAGGTATTGCCAGACTCTTAATTAGCCACAGAGGGTTCAAAAATACAGATAGTCTATTCTCTCTTTAGTGTTTAGGTTGAGGAAATGTAGCCTGTCTCTACTGCAGCCAGTGGAATTATTTTAGCATTTCATCAGCATAAATTAAAAGAAAGCTTGACCTTAAATGTATTAACATCTTTTTCCTTGATATAGAGCACAGAAAAGCAAAGAAACCTCAAAACAAATGGGGACCTCTTTATTTTTGCTGACCATCTGCCTGAAAGTTAACAGTTTTGCATAGTGTTAAGCACATGAGCCGATTAAATTATTATAATAAATATTAATTTATAGACCCCCATGCTTGAAAGCCTCTGTGCTTTAACTTAGATAATTAAAAAATTAGCTTCTGGTTGCTAGGGCAGCGGCCCAATCAATATGAAATCAAGAAGTGGGAAAGACTATCACCTTCCCAGCAGACTATAAATCACATTTTCAAAACTGTAATTAATCACTCACCTAGAGAGAATAATTACTTCAGATGGAAAGTGAAATATAATTTTCTCCATTGTCCTCTAGATCATCAAGTAGGTGACTGAGAACATTATTATCTTTGCAAATAAAATTTCCAGATACTTTTGTAAGGCTGGAATAAGTACTTTTTGTATATAATAGCTAGTACTTGCCTAAGACTTACTGCATGTTTTTATACTATGTATAAAATAACACTATATTTTTGCATTGTGGTATACAACGGAGTGTTAAAGCATTTCCTTGTGGTCACATACCTCTGCTGGAAATGTAAAGTTCAGGCTAGCAGGATAAGGTCTATTCTTAAAACCTGTTTTGTAGCTCTTCTATGGTATGATCAACCCTGCCTGCAAATACCTGTAAAATAAAGTTGACAGAAATTTAAACTTGCTCTCTTTTTTTTTTCTCCAGATCACAAATCTGACTATACTGGTAAATGAACTAGAATCACTGGACAAAAACAACATCCTTGCAATTCGTCGACAAATTGTGTCTCTGCAGAATCGATTGAAAGAGTAAACTATGGTACCCCCTTATTTCCCACCGGGTAAGCATTTCTCTTTTATATCAGATAAGAAACAACATAATACATGGGTAGAACAGTAAATGCAGAGATTTCCCTTTGTTAATATGAAATACAATTGTAATGATACTACTTCACTCTTGAAAAATTGATCAGACAGCTCCTAATGTTTCATCAATGGGTTCAAAAGGAAAATGAGGGCAGGAGGCAAACCCAGACACAGTAACTATTTTCAACTGGAAAAAGTTGTAATCTTCTTCTCACCTGCAGTGCGAAAATGAATCTCTACTCCGCTTCTCTTTTTCAAAACAATTACCTTTTTTTTTGTGGGAAACTATGCTTTTTTCTTTTGATTTTTAACAGTTCCTGTGAAAGTGACCTGTGTCATGGCAATTTTGCTCTAACGCTGCTTGGGAAATGTATGAGCAACGGTTGATGTACTAAAGCTGTTGGAATGCAAGCTCCGGAAGGTAGTTTGCATGAAGATTACTTTTGCTTCACAGGCAAAAGATTCTTCTAAATCAGAAGGTCAAGAACCTTGAGGGGAAATTCTGGTCTCAGGGAAATAAGTGAGAGCTTTATTACTGATTTCAGTGGAACTAGGATTTTATAATTTTCTTAACTAGGAAAGGTTATGTTCTGGGGCTTAGATCAGTGGTTCCCAGAGTGCAGTTCATATAAAAGTATCAACAGTCACAGGGCATGTGGTAATCAGTTTACAGCTGGAATAATTTTTGTCTTGACAGTGTGTTCAGTTTGAAAAATCACATTGTGAGTGAATCATAGTCTGAGAAATTTTGAGATTCAGATATGATACACTGGAGCAAAAAGTTTAGGAAACACCAGTTTAGGTATGCCAGGTCAAGCATCCTACTTGCTAACAGACAGGAGGATTTATCAAGCTGTGTTGATCCCCTGAGAGTTTTATACACAGGGGGTTCCTTTTGACAGTGTATTGTGTGAGAGAAAGTGCTCTGTTGTATACAATACCCAGGGGAAGGATCCTGCTTTTTCACATAAGCTGGTTAGCAATCAGCTAGAGGAGCCCATAAAAAAGGACAAGTGGTGTCCTGCTTGCAAGGAGCACAGATTTGCACCTACCAGCATTTACCTTTCATCTCCTTGGGGTCAGCTAGTTCAAACATCTCTTTGGAAAGGTGAGAGGCAGAAACACAAGCTTCCCTTAGGATCAGCAGCCTTTCCTATTGCGATCTCCTTAGGGCTTCATGGTGGTGTGGGCAGCTGCTGCGCTTCTCTGACAGGATGCGCAAGTAACACCTTGTCTGGGGATCAAGCAGGAGAGAAAGCTGAAACAAAAACCTGCATTGCAAGATCTCAAGGACCTTCTTTGCTCCTTAAGGAAGGGCTTAAAATGTTTCAATGAAAAAAAAAAAAAGCAATGTTTTAAAAGTATTTGAAGGGCATCTCATTGATTTATTGAGGGTGATGGTGTGTGGAAAGAAACAGCCTCTTTCTCTTCAAGCCTACAGCAAGCCTTTGTTTCAGTGAGAAAGTACTGAGCTCTGGAACAAGAATACTGTGTCCTTCCATGAGTGATGGAGAAAGGGGCTGCTTTTACGCCTGGCTGGTTGGCATGAGCATCTGTGGGAGGTAGGAGCTTTCACAGAGCGGGAAAGGGAGGTCTATGCTTCACAGTGCAGCTCCATGCAGGGATAGACAAGTCATGCCTAGAGCAGGATGATAGCTCTGGGATGGGTAAATGTAACTGCATAGGATTGTGACCATAATAGAATTATTTAGCATTGCTTCTTATGGCACAATGGGGAGATGGATAGCATTTATCTGGGTATTGCTTTAGCGTTGCGTTATTCCTGACTGGTGTGGCAGCTAGCTCAGGCACCTTTCGTGTCACTGCATTGTGTGGGAACCACAGAGCAGAAAATAACTTAGAAGGCCAAAACCCCAGGTGGTATGAACAACGAGCTCCATTGACTTCCAGAGAATTATCACCACTGACATCAGCTGAGGACATCCTCTGGTGTTATCTGTGAGTTTATCTCCTGCCCACAGCAATAGGAACGCCAGAAGGTTTGGCGGATGTGTGTGGGTGTATTGTCATGGCCACCTTTAAGGTGAGGGTGGTCTCTGAGGCTGGCACAAAGGAATGGCAGAGCAACTGCGGAGGGCTGGCAAGTTTCCTGCCTGTTGGGAGATGCCAGCTATACAGATCACCCAGGTGTTATGCAGGCTCAGATCCCTGCTAATCCATGCAGGGCTGGCGTATCCTGACTTTGTGTGCCTGGCGGGGAGCAAATAGTCTCTGGGCAGAGAACTTTGTAGAGCAATTACATGTCCCGCAGACTGTATCTGAAAACAAGTAGTAGGCAGAAGACGTTATTGGTTGGGGAGGTGGAGTAAGTATGTGAGAGCGCTGCATTTTCTAGATGGTCATTTTGGAGGCTTTGCATGGATGCTCACACCTAGGCCTCTGAAGCACTCATTTATGCATTTGAACACAATTTCCATGCGTTTTCTCTGCAAGCTTGAATGCCTTGAATTCCTGCCAAACCATTTGGCCTTGCCCTGCTTTTAGTTCATATTATATTTATAATGTTTGTATTAAACTGACTCTTTGTCCTGTTTTCAGACTGCATTTTCTTTCCCCCTTCATCCTCTCTCCTGCATATTTTGGGTAGGCAACATGAACTAGAGAGAGCTTGGCTAATCCCCAAGCTGTCTAAGACCATGAGTCTAAAGGCAAGTTTAATTAAAGCTTCTTGCTTCTCAGTGCTGTAGAACACAGGCCCTCTGACTCTGTCCCCCAAGGCTTTTGCTGCTGTATTTCTCAGAGTGAGCAGGCCGTTCTCAAACAACATAGCAGAAAGAAATCACTGGTCTCCGTTTGCCTTTCTCTCTGACTGGAGAGGTGTGTGTCTGAGTGTCTGTGATGGGGCTCAGTAAATATATAGTTAATCCTCCTCCTCATCATCACTGGCTTTCCTGTCTGCAGCAGTTCCTGGCATCTCTCTCCTCACCACTCCAGCGGGAAGAAATATTTATCCATTCGTTTTTCTTTTATGCTGATCTCATCTGGCTGCATCAGGGCAGGTATACAGAGGAAAGACCCCAGGATGGTTCTTTGAGGATTCTGCAGCAGATTCTTTGTCACATCTCACTGAAATGATCTGAGAGAGGCAGCAGGGAGAAGTGAGTCAGATGAAACTCTCAAAGGCAAAAAAAGAAAGAAAGGAAAAAAAGAGCAAAGCTGTTTTTTTATGGCTTTTATACATTTAGAAATTAAGGATTTCAAGTTACTGGTGAATAGGTCTCAGTAGGAGGAAGACCTGGTGTAGCCTAATGCTGAAACTCAGGCAATCCTATTGGAGTCTTAGAGTGATTTCACTTTTACCTTATAGTTTACCTCCTATGTACCCAAGATGTCTGTATTTTTTAAGTGTTTTGGGTTGTGTTTTGAAATTAATATATCCATACACAAAGAGAGAGACATGCCTACAGGCACCTGAAAGAGCTGGCCAGTACTCCTCTCCAGGACTGCCTGAACTGCTCCTGGAGACACATACATTTCTCCATTGGCAATGGAGGGATCTTAGCGGCGGCACCCGAAGTTTTAGTTGCCTGAAGGTAGGTCAGATGAACTCCAGCCCTCCACGTCATCCCCTGTTAGATGCTGACAACATAAGTCTTCTCTGATGCAGCTGTCAGCCTGTGGCTATACCCTGTGATACAGCTGAAGACTGAGGTGTCTGTGTGGGTATTCCTATGTCAGTGAGACTATAGGAGCCAAGATGAGCCTTTCCCTGAGCAGCTCTGTCTCCTGTGTCTCAAGCCACAGTAAGGCTGGTAACGGCTCTCACATCTGGATGCAGTGGTTCATCTGATGGGAGAGGAGGGTGCAGATCTGGTGCTCGGGAGCATGTGTGAGACTGTAGCATCAGCCTGCTCCTGGTCTCTGTGCCCCTCATGAGAGTTCCTTCAAACGTGTGTCCCACCTTGTCTCATGATCTTTGGCTGCATAGGCGAACTGTGGTCTCTTCTCCTCTGTGACCAGATGCAGCTACTTGGTGAGGGGAGGCTGCTGGAGTTTTTTTGGCATCTGTATTGTTGGAGCGAGAAGCTGATGTGCTCTGCGAGTGCTTCAGAGTGAAGTGGGTGAAGCGAGACCCAACGCGGTGCATCTCATGCTCAGTTCTGCAGCCTGTTAGCCAAGCAAGTCAGGCTCCCTCCAGTCCTGACAACTAAGTGCTAGCTCCTTTTCTGATGAATCAGAAGGATTAGTAAACAACTGAGCTGAGATACTGGTTCTTTATGTAGGGAGAAGGAGAAGTACATGTGTACGTACGTAAGTTAGTCCTCCTCTAGCCTATTTGCTACATAAGCATGAAACAAAGGAAGGCAAAAATACCAGGATGTCATTTATCAGCGGCCCAGAACAGTGGGGAAAGGAGTTAAAAACTTGAAAGTTTGAATAATGCATATGGATTTATTTCAAGTACCTTCTAATATTTACAAAATTACATGACACTTTGTTTCCTTTGTGCATTTTTTTCCCCCAAGATGCAGACAGGGAGGCAAGTTTAGATTAAATAAACAACAATGAATTCTTATGAACCAGTGCAGAAGACAGATCACCCCCTGACTACCACAGAGTTTTTTGGTAAAAAAAAAAAAAAAAATTTTGGGAGAGTTTTCAAGGCAATCAAAATCAAGCACATACTCTATAGAAACCTCAGCCAATTTTTGATGTCATTAAAACGGAACACGCTTCTAACTTTATTTTAATAATTCATTGTTTCATAAATAAAAACCAAACAAGTGTTCAGCAGAGAGATCTCTTTAAGGGAAGAAATAATAATTTATTATTTCTTTTGTAAAAAAAGGTCTCTCTGCTGAACACACGTTTGTTTTTTATTTATGAAACAAAGTATGAATTATTAAAATAAATCTGGAATTGTGTTCTGCTTAATGACATGAAAAATTATTTGAGGTCGCATATAGATGAGTTTAGCAGTGCTTCACTACCTGCAAGCTTCGGTGCTATACTTTTCTAAACAAATGAAGAGTTTTAGAGCATTTAAAAACCATTTAATTCTGAGATAAGTTTATTGTGATTTAAGCACAGTAATATATTCAATATGTCACCAGCTTGAAAGAAGCCCTCATGCCGGAGGTAACAATACATAATAGAGATATAAGAAAAAACCAGTTCAAATTGATTTATGGAGTTGGCAGGCTGCAAGCCATTTTGCACTGTCCGCCTTAGCTTTCTTCCTTTGCATGAGCTGAGGTATAAGCACCTCCAAACGTTGGTATCTGTGCCAAGTGCTGAGGCCATGTTACTGGCCATGCTACGTGCCATTTCCAGAGATACAGCCTGGCTAGCCATAGAGCAGTGCCTTCCTTGTGTGCTATATTTGGAAATGAGGTTTCTGCTCCAGGGCCTCGTCCTTTGTAAAGCACTTAAGTGCATGCTTAAATGCTCATCTGCTCTGAGCCAGGAATGCTGATTTGCATCGATTCTTGGTAGCACGGAGGGAAGCAGCGTTCAACCCACCTTCAGCCGCAAGAATCCCAGGACACAAAGGGGACTGGGGGAGGAGACAGGGTTGCTCCCAACTCATGTCACCCTCTTTGCCATGAGCTGGGCACTCAGTGATGCAGAGCTGCTCCCATGGGCAATACTGACCCCAAGAAAGTTGCCAACGTGACCTGGGGACACAGAGATTTAGCTCAGCATAGTGATTTATATTTAACATAAAGCTGCTCCCCACCTTCCTCATAGATGTTGAGAGGAGGCTGCAGGTGAATCACATGTCCCCCAAGTCACCAGCTCAAGACAAAACAAAACTGTGAGGGGTGAAGGTGTTATGTAGTGGAAGGAGAGAAATACTACATTTTGAGAAAGGAGGAGACATGGAGTGCTTCACTGCCCAAATTGACTTTACACATTGGCACAAATGTAAGACTAGATATAAGGAAAAAATTTTTTACAATGAGGGTGATGAACCACTGGCACAGGTTGCCCAGAGAGGTGGTAGATGCCCCATCCCTGGAAACATTCAAGGTCAGGTTGGACAGGGCTCTGAGCAACCTGATCTAGTTGAAGATGTCCCTGCCCATGGCAGGGGGGATTGGAATAGATGACCTTAAAAGGTCCCTTCCAACCCAAACTATTCTATGATTCTATGAAATGTAACCCTCTTGCTTGGACATTTCTAACATTCAGGCCACAGGTTTCGCTGTCCCAGAGGCAGAGCACCTTCCCCCTGGGCAAAGCAGATCAGAAAAAGATTTCTCTGCATTTGCAACAGTCCATTTTTCCCCAAATATCTCGTTTCCCAGTCTTTTTCCAAGCAGAGTGCTTCAGATTGGTCTGTCTTCACATTTCCCTCTATCTGTCGGATAGACTAGGATGCCTTTGAAAACAGGATACCTCCTAGGCTTTTTCTGTCAGTGGTTTTAGGAGTTTTCAATTCAGCTCCATAAGTATTGTCTGGCCTTGCTTAGGGATAGCCAGCTTTGAGGGCAAAAGGTAAATTCTCTCTCTGTTATTTCTCATTCTTCTTTGTGCTAAGACGTAGGTTATTTATATGCTAGACATCCCTTCATATGACTGAGCTTATGAATAGTTCTTTTCATACAGGCTGTAAGCAATCGTGACATGGTACCCATGCAAAGTATTAAAACCTCAAAAGATAAGTTTGACTTTTATCATTGATGCCCTAGCTGGTGGTGCAAGAAGTTCCTGTGCTGAGGGAGGTATTATTAACATCAAACAGTTGTGGCCATTAATTTATCTGTTAATTCACATGTGAGACTATTCATATTATACTCCATCTTTAATAAGGAAGGCTGTCTAGTGGCTAGAGCACTCCACTGAATTGGGAAACATTGGAGTATCACTAAGCTTGTGAGCTGGTGCCAGTCACTTGACATCTCTGTCTCCATTACCTCAGGTGAACATATCCTTACAATGAAAAATCTGCGACAGTTTTTTTATTACTGGCAGTAATACAAAAAGCTAATGTTAACACTTGGAAAAAAGCATTCTAGCGTTCTGGTTTTTGCCAGTGGCAGCCTCGGACTCATCTGAGGCCCACAGACATTTCTGAGTGGAAGATTTTTTCCACCAGTGACTTACAATATTGAGAATTTATCAGGAAACAAGAATGTCACTGCCATTCACCATGAGTAAAAGGAAAGTACTTCTTGTATCTAAATTCACTTTTCCATGATCCTGAAAACAGCTTTGTAGTTGATATGTGGAAAACAGAGCTGTTCTGGTTCAGCTTGAAGTCATATTCTCTTTAGAGTTGCCTCACATGAAAACTTGGAATAGTATCTGTCTACATTTCCTAGGTGATTGTTACTGTCTGCAGATTTCTTTGAGGGCCTGAGGTGGAAGGCACCATGCGGCTGTGACGCACTGTTGTAAAGCTGTGATTCTGACAGCAGAATGCTAATCTGAAATGTGACTCTGGAATTACTGCTGCTGCTGCTCCTTCCTTTCCCTCTGCAGTGAAATACACAGAAATCAGATGCGCCTCTTTCTTTTTTTCCCCATCTTCCATGCTCTCAGTTCCACTGAGGTAGAAAATAACCTAAAATGCTTCTGAAATTGTATTTTCCAAGGGATTTCCTAGTGCATCCAGCTGGCGTGCATCAAATGGGTAGAAAAAGAAATCTGTCCCTTGTCTGGAACAGCACAGTGAGCACTTATTTTCTGTGAATTAATCCTAACTGAGGATGGATATCCCTATCTTTTCTCCAGCCCCCCATACTCCCCAACTAGCTGTAATAATATGTACCCTATTTTTTTTTTTACTAACTTTCTGAGTCAAATTGGAACACTTGGTGCCATCCAAAATGGGCCTTTTATACATGAGGCTATGCATTTTTGACTGTGCTTTGCCACAAAGCTAATCCCTAGTGAGCACACTCTAGAGGCAAAACCTCTCTCCTAATGATGACATTTGGAAAACCTGTTTTTTTCTTTTTAATTACAGGTAGCTGCATTCACCGTGGACTGCTGAATGTTAGCCAGCCCTATATTGTAAAGCTGAACTGGAGAGGATTTTCCTACAAATATGGTTCCTGGGGTAGAGATTACTCTCCCTCTAACCCAGAGAAGGAAGTCTATTGGGTTGCACCACTGAACACAGATGGGAGATACTTGGAATACTGCAGAATTTATAGTTCCTTTGATGATTTGCTGCTGTTTAAACCCACGTATGAAAGAAGAATAACATACGGGGAAGGAAGTGGTGCTGCCCTTTACAATAGTTATTTGTACTATCATGCTTATAGTTCAAGCGATATGGTGAAGCATGATTTAAAAACAAACACCATGGTTTTGAGGAAGAGGCTTCCACAGGCTGTTACGAATAACCGTTTCTCTTATGCAGGTGTTTCATGGCAAGCCATAGATTTTGCCGTGGATGAAAGTGGGTTATGGGTAATATATTCAACAGAAAATAGCATGGGCAACATTGTGATTAGCAAACTCAATGAGACCACACTTGATGTGCTAAATACTTGGCAGACAAGACAGTACAAGCCATCTGTTTCCAATGCTTTCATGGTATGTGGTGTTCTGTACGCCACAAGGCCAATGAACACAAGGAAAGAGGAAATCTTCTACATGTATGACACGAGTACTGGCCAAGAAGGTCATGTTAGTGTCGTTATGGATAAAAAGTTAGATACTATCCAGAGTATTGATTATAACCCCACAGATCAGAGACTCTATGTTTACAATGATGGTTACCTTCTAAGATATGATGTGACCTTTCAGCCTTAGCATCTCAGTGACATAAGCATGTGATAAAACTGGCAGCAACTAAAATGAGAGATCCGATACGCCTTTAGACAACGCTATTGCCAGTTTAGAGTTCATTTGGTCTGATGTACTGTATCTGTGGGTGTTATATATATTACTTATACTCTTTAAACGAATTGCCCACTCTGGTCAGTAGTATTGCTGGCAGCAGTGTTTGGCAGTACTGGCTTCTTTAGGTTTTGATTGGTGTTTATTGGTGCTCAGTGCTTTACAATTGTCCTGCCTCTAAGGGTAGATTTACTGCATAATTTAGTGCATTTTGTTCACAGAAATTGATGGGTACAGCCTATCTACTGACCAAGAAGCTAATTACCCACTGATGTTCATTTGTCAGTGTAACACAGGCAAAGCACCCAGAAACTGAGAATGAATTTCCACTGATCTTCATCAGAGTGAATTGAGGCCTCAGAGAAATTAATGAAGGATTAAAATAGTATAGGAAGTAGGCTTGGTTGGAAGACAGCAACCCATTTGTTAGGTGGAAGCAGTAGTGTCTGGCTCAAGGCTTCAGGAGAGAAAGTAGAAATGCACTTTGCTGTTTGAAGTCCTACCACAGGGAGGGTAGACAAGGCATGGCGGCAGGGACAGAGCTCACTGCCCTTGCCATCACCCATGCAGTGGGACAGCCGCCCCTGGGGCCCCACCTGTAGCCACCTCCTAGCAGCTCAGCCCTCTCCCAAGCTGCCACAGCACCAGGCTGGCTTCTCAGAGTGACTGTGGGTGCAAAACTGGCAGCAGGGCTTTCACCAGCTTTCCCTCTGTCCCACTCTGCTGCCCTTAGCATTTCCGTGTGCCTAAACCTGGCCTTACGAATGGTCTTACTGCAATCTAGCCATGTTTTGTGGTCACCATGGCTCCATTTTCCTGGCAGTACGGTGCAAGAAACACTGTTTTCCTTTCCTTTATGCTCTTGTAAGCTGATGCAAATCCTCCCGTTGACTTTATTGGCCACGAGTGGCTCTTAGGTATATATCATGCATGGCCATAGAATGACAGCCGTGTTACTTAATGTGCCTCTATTCAACAGTTTTGCCATTCTGTAATTAGATTCCTGAAAGCCTTGTTAGTGTAGGGTCCAATTTGTTCCCTGGGTAATTCTGTCTTACAGCAAAGTAAGAGGTGGAAAACCTGTGGAAAACAAGTCTGGTCAAACTAGTTGGATATGTGGTTTTTTTAAAATGGGTATTGTGTAATAGTTTTTGAGTGTGTGCACTGTATCAATGTCTTACCTTCATCATATCAGAAAGCAGGCTGAAATACTGAAATTTAGAGCTCTACAATGATGAAGAAAGCAGTTCATGTAGTTCATTTTCTTCTGTTACCTATGCAATCATGTCTGTGTCCTCTGACAATCAAAATCAACACATATGCAAATGATTGCTTTTGTTTTAATAAAAACAATATTTCAAAGAATCTCAGCTGTGCCATAGAACCATGTAAAGCTGCTTGTGACAAGTAGGTAACTTCTGGGATACAACGGGAAGCCAGGGCACCGAATGTTTGAAACAGGATCAATGCACTCATTTGGCCTCCATGTGCTTAAATGGTTCTGAGGACAATGCAAAGGTGTGAATCCGTATGTCAACAAGTATGTAAGAGGAGTTTTATTTCCCCACACAGAAATATGTTAGCTGGTTAGGGTAACATTTCTCCACCAAGCTGAGATGTTACTCGAGACATTGGAGGCTGATGAACTGATGACACGTTTTGAAGCCAGGTGCTGCCACTTATCAGGTATCAGCATCTGTTTCTTGGAAACCTGTGAAATGAATTTGAAAGCCATGAGGCATTGGTGCAGTAATCTAATCAGTCAGTACAGGCAGGGCTGCTGTGTGAATAATCCGTAACAGCCCAAGTAAAGATTTGGCTGAGAAAGGAAGAAGAAAACACTGCAAAAAATTTTTTTTCCCTCTCCATCCATGTGTCACGGAAGGTGAGCAACTCTCCACTTATTATCAAGAAATGCCATCAGCATGGGCCTTGAGGCTCCTCAGCTCACCACCGTTTAGGAAGGGAGTTGATGTTAGCAGGTATGTGACTGATGCTGGTGAATTGACTGTGATTCTCAAGTCCTTCCTGGGGACAGGTCCTTGTGGTCTAGCCTTCTCCCCTTTGGAAATAGCAGTTGGCCTGGACTGGAGGCTTCCATGATGGCAATAGAGGTCGGGATGCCATGGCTGCCCACCACGCTCAGTTATGGTGTGGCCCAGACCCTGTGTGACCTGGCACTGGGCTCCAGCTGGACTTCACTGAGGTGACCCAGAGGTGGGAAGATAGTGGCAGCAGCCATCTCTTCAGGGTACCACACAATGTCATTGCAGAGAAGATAAAGCACAGTCGGGTTAGGCCTCGGTAGCTCAAGTACCAGAAGGAAAGCAGAAACATCCCTGCACTTATAAAACCTTAAAATGTGTCGTGTGGTTGGGCTGGGTCAGGATGTTTCGGTCCAGGCAAGGCTGAGCTTGTCCTTTGATTTTTGTCCTGTGCTAATATTTCTCAGGCCGCTGGTGCCAGGGCGTGGCGGGGGTTCCCCTGGGGTCTATCAGGGCAGGGTCCCCCCACCCCAGCCAGGAGCAGGGCAGCCGGGGGGCACCAGGGCAGCCCCAGCCCTGGGCATCAGGCACCTCCATGGGGACGGGGACAGGCTGAGACTGGGCTGGGATGTGGGCCCGTGGGTGGGCCTGGCTTGGTGGGACCCATGGCTGGGCAGGGGAGGGCTGTTGGCAGCTGGAGACCGGCCCTGCTGCGGCATCGCTGGGGCAGGGGCAGAGGCAGAGGGCCCTGTGGGGCTGACGTGGGGTCCTGGGCAGGGTGGGGGGGAGCCCCAGGAGGGTGGGCACGGTGGGCAGTGAGGCACATAAGTGCCCCTGGGGCCCTGGCAGCTGGCAGTGTTTCTGTTAATGTTATAAGAGGCTTTGCAGAGTTGTAGAAAGATCATTGTCCTTTTAAAAACAGAAAAATAAAGGCACGAAATGACTATATTTCAGCTCTTAGCCTATTGATTTGGCATCTCCCTGTGGAGGTTTTGGGGTATATAAACAATATTGAACCTGCCACAGAGCCCGGAGGAGAGTCCATCTGTCTGCACGGTGACACGGGGAACTGCAGTACAGGGACTTGGATGCAATTTCGTTGATGAGTGGTTTTCACACCACCTAACTCGAGGTACCTGAGGCAGGAGACTCGGCTCTGATCCATGCAATGATTGCACGCGGGGAGAGAGGGACCTTCTGCAAAGAGCACTTCAAGAAGAGAGAGTAATACATCTTTTCACTTCTTCCCTTAGACTTGTCCTTCCAGGCCTTGGATGAAAGTGGTTCAGTAGTGCTGGCTGTTAAAATTAAAGCGTGTTCTTGGCTGGCCACGGCACACAACCTTGGGCAGGCTTCACTCGCTGCCCCTGTTGTCTCCTCTCCTATAGCTGGAGCTACCTCTGCTTTGTTTGGGGGGTGTTTCCTCCTCTCCTTCCTCCTTGGACATGGAGAAGACCTCACCCCCATGCTTACCAGCATGGGCTCTTACTGGTTTGGTGGCTCCACATGATTTCTTGATGTGGCTTTTGCCTTCAGTGACATAATTGCCTGCAGTGACATCAGTTTCACTCTGACCCTTTTCACCTGGGCTTTCCTGACACGCACTGACCTCATTCTCCCTGGTCTGTTCAAAGTGCAGCAACAAATTCATCCTCTTTTGCCTTTTGCAGTCCTTCTTGGTCCCACCCTCTCTTTAACAAGTTATATACAAGCTCTTTATTCTTTAGTCCAGGACTTTCACATCCTTCCCTCTCAGCAACTGTGTTACCTGAGCCTATCTGCTTTGCTGCCTAAGTGATGCCAACCTCCTTCATCCTCCCGTTCCCTCGTCATACACCCTTCCTTTTATCCCACACTGACACTTTTCTCTGTGATGCCCTCTCCAAACTGATCTATCAGCTTCCCTGGGCTCCTCCAAATTTCCCATGAATTTCTCTGTGAAGCTCCTGATAAATTGCCA